GAGAGAGAGAGAGAGAGAGAGAGAGAGAGAGAGATCTTAGATGATTAGCTAGACACCTAGTGAGATGGAGAGGTACGAGATTATTTGTACATTTATATATTGTCCGACAGGTTGCTGCAAGCTTTAAAGGAGTCGCCAACGCGTGGCAATCAGTTGTATCAGGGTACGTCGAAAATAACGATGGCGCACGATGCCATTCAAGCGATCAAACAACTCCGACGAGACGTTGTCGACGCTATGCGCGCTCTGATGAAGCTGGCGAAAGACAAGCAAACCAGCGGCATGTTGCCAATTTGCGAGGATATGATCACAAAGACCAGAATTTTACTCAGCCTGTGGGATCCTGGCTTGGTCGAGGAGGCGTTGACTTTCCTCGAGGAGTACAAAGTAGCCAAGATCCACGAAACATCCTCCAACGACAACAATCCTCTCAATTTAGACTTTAAAACGAACCAGTCGTTGTCTCCTTTCAAACGGATCACTCAGCAGTTGAACTTTGACCTGAAGAGCCCGGACTTTGACGATTTCGTTACGCCCGACACTCCGGAATGCGTGAAAGATCTGTGGACGAAAGAGGGCGAAAGGAACGGCTTTACGGCCACGTTTCCCTCGAATTCGTATCGCGTTAATGCCAACAACATCACCGTGCAAGGTCACCAAGGTCGAGACAACGACGGTGGCGGCGGCGGCGATGGAAGAAAGGAGGAGGAAAATTTTGTTATTTTTCCAGATGTCGAAAACGACTTGGCTACAGACTCGGTGATTGTCGAAACGACCAATCGAAACGACGACGACGACGACAACGACAACGGAAACGATTCTGTCGTTGACGACAGCAGCGTGCCAGCTGGTGGCAGCAAGCTGTCAGAGGATAACGAGGGACGAGAGGAAGAAGTTAAAGGCGACATCGATCCGTGCAAACGGTTCTTAGATACCCAAAAGATGTGCAACTCGCCGTCTGCTAATTACTACAAGCCCACCGACGAGCCGGAACCGTGGGACCTCACCCAACTGAACATCGAGGCGAGCGTAATGTGTTTGGTGTCGAAAGTAAAGTTCCTCTGCGGGAGGTGCAGCAGTCCGGCTGTACGGCTGCGGAATAAAAACGTCGTGGGCAGATCGCACAGCTTGAAGGGATGCATTTCGAGCAATCGTGGCATCAAGGCCGTTCACGTCGTGACGATTCAGCCGAAAAATGACGTTAAGAGTAATAACGACGAGTCGAGCAAGTTGCTCGACGCCACGACCGAAACTCGTGCAAACTTTAACAAGCAACAACCGAGCTCAAGCTCGGAAATGACGCCAGCCTTCTCCAAAGCCAAAGAAGGTGAGTAGACCAGGAGTGAGATTTCCCATTTCCATTCCTTTTTATCTGCTACGTTATTGAAAAAGAGAGCCAAGTAAAATAGATAAAGTGACCGATTTATCATTTATTATAGTCGTTTGTTCGTTTTATTCCTGTTTGATCGTACCGTGTTTGTTGTAAAGTATGCCAGGCTGTTGATTCGATGACAAGAGTGATTAAAAGTAATTCAGGACAAAGGAACAAGTTCACCGAAGGCTTGGATTTTGCCACGATTGTCGATTGGACGAGCGAGCTCCGACCGAGCATGAAGAAGCTACGACAAGCTATGGACGGGTTATTGAAAACCGCTCGATTAACGCATTCGGTGTTCAGGGTGCAAGAAGACCCGAAAATAGCTCAACGCGCCTGCAACGTTCGATATAGGCGAGACGTCTGCTTTAGCCAAGCGGTGAGCTTTTTGCTTTATATCTATCTGCTTCTCTTCTTTCCCTTGAACGCTTGATCGATCTTCTCCTAGGTACTGTCGCACCAATCTCGAATTTGACTGATTTCAGTTGACCAGCTTGGTATCGGGATTGATGGCGAAGCTTTGGTGTCAAAGACCCGATCCCATGTTTCTTTTAATTTTGACCACGCTTGGACCTCTGGTCTCGTTCGAGGGACTTCTCAGTTATTACGGGGACGAGATCGACATGTGGGGAGACATGACCGTAGCGGTGGAAGATATGCACACTGTAACTTTCACGCTGGCCAGATGCGGCATTGAACCAAGGTTAGCACGACGAAGTCACAGTACGTAGAATTGTACGAAATACAGTCGCTGAAACGGCGGTGCAACGTTTTTCAGATTCGAGGGGAATTGCGGGAACGTTCCGTTTCAACAGCCGCTACCGAGAGTACTTGGTTCCCGAGCGGCATTGACGGTCGTGTTGCCCGTGCCGGATGCGATCTATTCTCTGTTGCCGTTGGTTCCCACCTCCAGGCAAACCATCTCCTTCAACGTCACCCCGGTCTTCTTTAATGTCGGTATCAACGAAATGGCCTCCCTGGCGGAGAGCCTCGGAACTACGAAACCTCAGGAGAAAAGCAATATGGATAATTTCGAAAGGCTGAACGAGTATTACTTGCGATTCAAGAAACTTAATTTACCGACAGAGACGTTGTCGACGCGACGTGAGTTTCTCCTCGTTTTTCTCCATTTATAAATATACAAGTTCGGCATTTCTCTCGGAATGGCAAACAAAAGGATAAATATAACTATGATATGCAGCAGTGTGCAACATTTTCTTTTTTTTTTTTTTTTTACACTTGCAATATTTTTCTAAAAATTAAGACCTTTGTACGCTGTCGAAACAAATTGGTAAAACGAGATGTCCTTTAGTGAAAGAGTCGGATATTTTCCATTTTACAAGAAAAATACTACGGACAAAAGTAACATCTTGTATGCTTTATTGTTCCACTCTACTTGTCGTTTTGAATTGCTAGTTGGTGCAAGGTCGCCGCTTGGTCAAACATTAGCGGAACTGATGGCCAATCTAAAGGGAAGCGTCCAAGCCAAAGTAAACAAGAACGTGGAAGTGTTGCAACTGTCCTCCCAAATTTGCCGGAGAATGCGCGGTCTGAGGTTCACCAGCTGCAAAAGTGCGAAGGATCGCACCGGGATGTCAGTGACGTTGGAGCAAGTGAACATCCTGAGCGCCGAGTATCACTTGGCCGAGCACGAATACTCCAGAGCGCTCGACTGTATGCGAAGGTTAATTTTTTTCTCTGATCAAGCTTTATCCGAATAATATACAGTAGACTTCCGTACCATTGGAGAAGATATTGCACGTTTTCACGTGGAAAGAAAAGTTTGTTGGCCGTGGTTGGCGAAGATGAATTCTACACCTTCGACTTGATGGTGTAGATTTCTACATCACCGACTTACCGACTTCTTTCTTTTTCACTCTCGACACGATACAATACGATACGAGTCAAGTTTCTGTGAAATAAAAAGAAATTTTCATTTACATACGTTTAAACAATATGTCGATAGAAAAACTTTAGATTACTTTAAATCACGGTATGCGAGAAAAATTCTCGTACAAGACAGCACGATTTCCCATATTGTGCGTGAATTCATACAACGCGTAAAAAACGTATCAACGGGAGTCTACTGTGATAGTATTGAATCGCTGTCTCGACAGTGCGATAATGTTGTTTTTCGTTACAGCGAAGGATGTCGACGGGAGAACACGTGGAAAAATATTGGAATTCGGAAATACGCGTTCAATAGCTTGCAAATACTGACATTTCCAAAACTGTATCGGCCACCGACAGGGACCTACGGATCGGCGCAAACTTAATCATTTAATGACGTGATCATCTCGCGTGTTACGCGCGATACAGGAATCCATTCGGGTAAAAAAACGAGAGAGAGGGAGAGAAAAAGATTGTAACTCGACTAAAGCAGATGGAATGATTTTCCTCGTACAAATTACACGTAAATAATTCCCGTTCGTTCGAAGTCGATCGGTATCGGAATCGAGTCGCTATTCTACGCGAAAACGAAAACGAAAACGAAAACGAAAACGAAAGAAAAAGAGTGCCATCTCGTTTGATACCATCGCCCTGTTAATACAGAGATCGTGAAATTTTGAAACGATGTATTTTTATTATTTCTGTACATAGAATTTCACTTTAGATAAGAGTACTCGCGAAAAATGGAATAGGAATTTCATTGAAATTCGCGTTATGTGCCAATATAACGATATAACGATACAATTTGTTGTAATTTATCAAGATCCGTTTATCCCTCGACATGACGAGAGCGAGCCAAACGCGAACAAGGTGCAAGTTGTGATCTGAAACGACTTGCACCTTCGAAGCACCACGAATCTATAATGTTTGATCATTATTTCTGACTGTGTGTTTAAAAAATATACGCGAATGTTAGTCGAAGAATGTTACTGACGAACAACAAAGTTTGATTCTTAAAAAGAACGCGTTTTGAAATTTACTGAAAAAGAGATTCTTTGGCGACGATTTCTCGACGAGCACCAGTAGTAGATACATATATTATTGTTGTGTAGTTTGGCTCGTGTGTTCTGCGCGTGATAAACAATCGAAAATTTATGATAACAAAATATTATCACCCGTCATATTGAGGTATAAATTTAGAAGAAAGGGTGCTTCGCGACAATGATCGCGTTCCATCGAGTAGGATGGAGTACACAAGTACAGCCGTCCCTTCGTTTACGCGAAAAGAGAATCTGTCGGTGCAATTTTCATTTTCACGTCCAAAGACAGATTTAGATTTTCTCTTTCTTCGCGTTATTTGAACGTTTGTTAACCTCTTGCTCTGGAATGACGTGCCATTCACGTCGAGAATTGTCCCAAAATTGCAATATTTCCTCAGTTTTAAGTATATTTAAATATAACCCAGGCAAAACAAGTAATAAATTTATTACTTTTTAGTAATAATTTTTATCCAGTGATCGTCGTACCGACAAGTTCAGAAAGAAAGCGATGAATTATTGTGTACGGTTTGGTCACTCGTTATGGTCCGCGAACCAGTTACCAGCGCAAGAGGTTAAAAGCTTGATTTGAAGTAGGTTAGGATTTTACACGACAAAATAAATTGCAATACTTTCTTAGTTTCAACTATATTCAAATATAACCCAAAAGGCAAAACAAATAAATTTATCACTTTTTAGTAATTCTATCCAGCGAAAAAAAGCGACGAATTATTGTATACGGTTTGGTCACTCGTTATGGTCGGCGAACCAATTGCCAGCGCAACGGGCTAAAATCTTGATTTGAAGTAGGTTAGGATTTTACACGACAAAACAAATTGCAGTATTTTCTTAGTTTCAACTATATTCAAATAGAACCCAAAAGGCAAAACAAATAAATTTATCACTTCTTAGTAATTCTATCCAGCGAAAGAGAAAGCGAATTATTGTGTACGATTTGGTCGCTCGTTATGGTCCGCAAACCAATTGCCAACGGGTTAAAATCTTAATTTGAAGGTTAGGATTTTACGCGACAAAACAAATTGCAGTATTTTCTTAGTTTCAACTATATTCAAATAGAACCCAAAAGGCAAAACAAATAAATTTATCACTTCTTGGTAATTCTATCCAGCGAAAAAGAAAGCGACGAATTATTGTATACGGTTTGGTCGCTCGTTATGGTCCGCGAAACCGGTTGCCAGCGCAAGAGGTTAAACAACGAGTTTGTTTCGAGTTAAAATTACAATACAAAGTATAAATCTGAACTTGGCGCGTTAAAAACGTTGCTTGCTTATTGTGTTTTTTGAATAATATACCGTTGCTGAGACCGATTGTTTGATTCTAACAAGGCCTGTTAACAATTTAAATCGAGTATCGTTTCACCGATGCTTCTCACGCGTATGAAAAGTACCGCGTAGCGTTTGCAATTTACTGACCGTAAAGAGAGACTCGCGTAAATGAAACGTGTGTATATTTTCTGGCCCTGTAAGTTGAAACGGCGCGTAATATGAAAATTGCCGCGTAAATAGGGTTGCAATTTATCGCGTAAACGTAGGGACGAGTGTACTTACTTGTGTTACGTACTTTAGTCGGCAAAGTTACGCGGTTCGATGATTGGAAATTTACCGCTCGATCAGCAAAGTAGCAAAAGCATCTGATCGGAGGGTCGAACCGATACGTTTGTAACATACGTGTAACGTGTAATGTCATAACTAGGCTCGCAACCGCGTAGGTAGGAGATCGTGATGCGAGCGAGATCGTCATCGACGAGAAGAAGCGTAGAAATGTTAGACTCTACCAGGGTAACGGTTGTATTTTCGCAAAATAAACTATTATCCTCTTATTAATCTACGTGTTGCGTGGACGAACCGGACGAACGAATAAATTCGTAATCGGATGAGCAGAGAGAGAAAAAAATATAGGTATAGTATATGTAACGATTGAAAAAGATAGGGGCGAGCGAAAGAGAAGGAAGAGAAGGAAGATGGAGGTTGACAGGGACAAGCGGAGAGCGCACAGCTTGCAGGCACGAGGAGACAATAACAATGCACGGCAGTGGAGCGCGTCGGCCGCGTCAGCGAGCGGACACCTGCTCTCCACCCCGAACCTTTTATGGAAAGGACAGGATATAAAACTGGTAGGGCGGCTGGTTGCTCGAGCCAGTAAGGTTTCGGTGGTCGAGCGATCGCGCTCGTTGGACGTTCGATCTCGATTCGCGGAGGGGAAGGAAACGCACGTTGGATCGTCGATGTGATATCCAAAGGGATATTTTCGGACGGGACGGAAGGAAATCTTCGGCAGGTCGATCGTCGAACGCTGGTTCGAGGTTGGATCGCGAGCGCGA